TGAACCTGGAATTCTTTTGACAATCAAAGATGGATCTTTAATTTCTTTCCAGTTTAATAATATTTAGCAATGTCAATGAAATGTAGCCTATATTAGAAATGGCTAGGAATTGGGTGCTTGGATGATTTGTGCATATAACCTCTGTCTGTCCTGGTTGGTCTCTGAGCAATTTATCAATAACAACATACAGTATATTTATAAAAACAACATATTATAGTCTATGGCTCTAAAGACTTCATATAAAATATCAATATTATGTCATCATATCTCAGATACCTCAACTGAATTTAAAATCAATGCAATAAATTCTCAGTTGGTATGACAATAATAAGTAACAATTCCTATCAAATCAACATCAACTGCAAAAATAGATGTAAATGATGCAAGATATGTTCACAATGCAAGTTCTGATAGCATCGCTGTTTGGACATTTATTGGGAGTTTTTTGTTTTTTTAATCCAGTGTTTGTTTTCAGTTCTGATTTTAGTTAGATTTTTTTTCATGAAAACCCACTTCATATTAGCTACACATTCAATGGCACTCTCCTCTAAAACAGTGAATATACAGTTATATGTTATATCTTGCTCTAATAGCATCGCTGTTTGGACATTTATTGGGAGTTTTTTTTTTTTTTAATCCAGTGTTTGTTTTCAGCTCTGATTTTAGTTAGATTTTTTCTTCATGAAAACCCACTTCATTTTAGCTACACATTCAATGGCACTCTCCTCTAAAACAGTGAATATACAGTTATATGTTATATCCAAATTTTAAGTATCGGTTTAGGGAGTATATATATATCCAAGTACACAATACATATATGACCACAAGAACTTCATATGCTTTTTTGTTTGTGTTTAGATAAATCGTTCAGAGAGGTTTGACCAAACTGTCAAACTAGGTTATTTCCAAATCATCCAAGCACCCGATTGATTTCTAATGTTTGATTATTATGACTAAGTAGTAATAAATTGTAAAGAAATTACAGATCCATCTTTGAAATCTGATACAATAATGCGCTCTCGACATTTGTAATTAAAATAACGCCATTCACTGACACGGACCGGCTAAAGAACGATTCCCAAATGAATCATTAGTGATGTGTGTGATTCACTGACACGGACCAGCTGCAGACTGATGGTCAGCTGAAGTGTAAATGGAGCGGACCTCGTACGATGATGGTGGTGGATTTCTTGGCCGGGTTTCCCACGTTGTTGCTGGCGATGCAGCTGTAGACGCCGGTGTCCTCGGAGGCGATGGCGGGAAGCGTCAGAACCCCTTCCTTCATCAGGCTCTTCTCCGGCAGAGATCCGGAGCCGCTGGTCCAGGCCAGGCTCGGAGCCGGCTCTCCTGCGGTCGTGATGCAGACCAGAGACACCGTCTGGCCCGGATTCACCACGATCGGATCCTCCACCAGCAGCTTGATGGAGGCGGGAGCTGAGAAACACAGCAAACACTCAGGACTTTTATTTTCAAAGTGCAGGGTTATTATCGCTAACTAAAACTATACTTAAAAAATAAATAAAATAAATGCTAACTGAAATTAAATGAAGAACTAAAATGAATCTAAATAAACTAAATTATATAGACAATTATATAGAAAAACTGATAAAAATGAAAAAAAAAAATTGCTAAAACTTTTACTAAAATAAAAGCAAAAAGAGAAAATATCAAATAAAATGCAATTCAAAACATTAAGAGAAATTAAAATAGTATAGTCACTGACATTTGTTATTAAAACTACTGAAATTGTTTTCTTTAACTGCAATAAAGCTATATAAAATTAAAAAAAAGAATTAAAAAAATAATAAGTTATTTCAGCTACTTGCCAAGGCAATATTTCTAAATTTCGTTTGGTTTAATTTGAAGTACTAAAATAAATAAAACTAAGTAAACTAAAACTAATAAATAAACATAAATAAAAAACTATATAGACATAAAAAACTAATAAAATGAGAAAACACACAACAAGGTTACTAAAACTTTAACTGAAATTAAAGTGAAAACAGAAAATATATGTAACATAAAATTATCAAAAAAAATATGTTAGTTAGTTATTGGTCACTGATCTTTAGTCACTACTTTAACTACTAAAACTACTAAAATTTCTCTCTTTAACTGAAATAAAGATATATGAAGTAAAATAAAATAAAATAAAATAAAATAAAAATCTAAAAAAGATTTTCATTTCATTTTCAACAACATTTCTCATTGTCTTTCGGTTTAATTTGAAGTAGTAAAATAAAACTAAGTAAAACTAATAAATAAAAATAAATAAAAATGATGTAGACATAAAAAAATAAAAATAAAAATGGCAAAACACGCAACAAAGTTATTAAAAATGTAATTAAAATTAATGTGAAAACTGGAAATTTTGCATTTTTAGTCCAATTTTGAAGGAACTGTGGATTCATTATTAAAAATCTATTTAAAAATTGCTTCTGTAAAATAAAAAAATAAAAATATAATAAAATAAAATAAAATAAAATAAAATAAAAAACAGCAGACTCTTTAAGAGCCTCACCAGTTTTATTGGTGAGTCTGAAGACGACTCTGCGGTCGGCGATGGCGCACACGTTCCTGACGGAGGCGATGCAGCTGTAGTTGGCGTAGTCCTTGGGTCTCAGGTTCTTCAGCTTCAAGATCTTGGTTTCCCCCTGGAGCTCAGAGCGACAGACAGAAAGACGTGTGCAAATGTGTGCTCCACAACACAGACATACTGCAGGAGAATGATGCATTACACACACACCTCCTGTTAAACCACTATCACCGAATGCACTTTACACAACTTCTGCATGAACAATATCTGATGGAAACAACAACAACTGCTTAGTAACCTTAATATAGTCATTTTATCTGTTCGCATTTGCTACATGAATCTTTAGCAATTTTGAAAACATTAAACCTGAGATGTGACGAGACGAGACAATTTGCCGTTTTGCATTTTTAACATATTATCCATAAGAATAAGAGCATTTAAAAAAAATATAAAATAAAAACATTGTTTCCAAATAGTTGAGATTGGTTAAAAAAAAAAAAAAAAAATCTTATTCTTGTGCTTTTACTGTTCCTCTTTTTTCTTATATATCCCCTTAAATCCATTGGAATACTATATATTAATAATTTATTCATATAATATTTTTATCATATATATTTTATACATAGCATTTTTAGTACATATTATTTATAACTTAATTATGAGAATTGTATTATATATTTCATAAATAATATGTTAATATTACATATTATCAGTAATAATTTAATTATATTTTGATACTATATATTTTGTATATCACATTTTATATTCTAAATTATTATTATTAACAATTTAATTATATATTTTATAGATGCTATTTCTTATATATTAGTGCACTAAACATTTAGGCCTACATTTATGATTTATGTATTTAAATTGCATATATAATTTCCATGCATCTGGATTACAGAGTTTATAAACTATTAAACTTATTGTGATGATGCATATTTGGCAGTCGTACATTAAAGAAACAGCTCAGATTTCTGTAATAGTATGTTAATACGCTCAATGTGTTTTAAACACACAATAACCAGGATGATATATTTATCATTAATAAATCCAGTCTCATATATTTATCTAACTGAATATTGCTTGGAATTACAAGACATTCTTTAATCATGTTAATTTTTTTTTAACTGAATAAATGTAACTGTTTTCACAATGAACAGAGTTATATTGATTCTAAGCAATATTAATAAATGCATTTAAAATAAATATTATTTAAATAAAGCCAAATAGATGCAAATAGTTAATAAACCATGCTCTGATTTTGGAGAGCTTTTTCTGCTTATGATCAAAATATATATTTTGTTCAATAAATATAGTTTATTTTAAGAATACAGGAAAATGTAACAATCCTGAAAGTTGTCTACACAGTTTGAAGGAGATCTGAGGCTTTACAGTGGTAACAAATATGATATTTTATTATATCTGATATGATAAATATTCAATTTCTAAATAGATTATAAAATATGATAAAAAAATGTAATATGATTGTTTCGTTATAAATATGGTGTTTATCTTTATATTGGACAACCAGGGTTATTACAGTTAACTAAAACTAAAACTGAAACAAAAATTTAAATCATCAAAAACATTTTCATTACTTTAGCAACATTTATCACTTTTCACATTTAGTTTAAATTTATGTACTAAAATAACTAAAAATTAAAACTGAAGTAAAAACTATATAGACAAATATGCATCTCATTAGGTTTATTAGTTTATGTAAAAACGGTGTAATCCAAATGGATGGAAATTTTATATGCAATTACATAATACATAATACATAAATACATAAATCCTAAATTTAGGCCTATATATTTTCCACCGAGTTTTTTTATCTTTTTTCTTTTAGTTTTAGTAAAGCCATTTTTTTAGTACAGTATTTTTTTTTTGTATTTTAACTAATTGCCATTTTTATCATAATTATTGTAAATATGTCTATATTTTTATTTTACTGATTTACTTGTTTATCCTGTTATTATTATTATCATTATTATTATTTTAGTACAAATAAAATGAGAAATGTTTCCTTGGGAACTTGTTGAATTAAAATAAGTTAGCTTTTCTTTTTATAATTTATTTTATTTTATTTAATTTCAAGTAATGAAATGTTTTTATGGTTGTAGTTTAAGTTAACTATAATAACCCTGCATTTGACAGATCAACAAACGCTAAATCCTGATGTTTAAAATAAAATTTTTTTTTAAAAATGCATGAACTTCTTCCACTCATGACAGCACTCGCATGATATGATGAGTGTTTAATAAAGCGTGAGGAAAGCAGCGAAGGCGTCGCCGACAGCGTTGATCATCATTAATCTGGATCTTATTTCGCTTCCACTGCAAATCCATTCAGCCGCTCCTCGTTTCAAAGTCAACCTTTGAAGTTTTAATTTGCGGCTTATCGCGTTCGACGCGCGTCACAGACTCAGGGGGTCTTTAGGACGGCGTCTTCAGACGGTTAGCAGACGCGGCGGCGCTTTGATGCCGATTATAACATCACACACTTTCATATTCCACTGACATATTCATACTCAACCTCCACAACATCAGTCTATATACAGACGACACCTCCTCGCCTGCGTCTGCCTGATATCAGTGCACAGAATAAAAACACACGAACCAGATCAGAGAGAAGAGTGTGTGTGTTATCGGATGGTGAGATCAATGAAACACATATGTGGAATCTGTTCGATTGTTATGCAGTAAATGCAGCTTCACATGAACTCTTTGAATCGTGCGCTTGAAAACGCAACACACGCCAAGCATCTCTGTACTTTTGTAAAGAGAAATCTGTGGTCAACAAAAGAGAAAAAAATTCAAAAGAGGAGTTTCCCTGTGGTTGTCTGCCAAAATAAAAGCTCTATGGTTTACTGTTTGAAAGCAAAACAAAATAAAAAATAAAGTAAATAAAAATAAATAAATATGTACAGTACACTCTAAAACATGCTGGGTTAAAAACAACCCAACTTGGGTTATTTGGCAACCCAGCGCTGGGTAAATATTGCTGGGTTACTTTGACCCAGCTGGTTGGGTTAAACGTTTTTACCACCATGCTGGGTTGTTTAATTTAAGTCATCTATTGTTTAAAAATTACTATATTGCTGGCTTAAAATGGGCTGGAAATTAAAAATCACACACAGAATTACTATAGGCAACAGCAATAATCAAAAGATGAAAATTTGTTATAATCAAAAGTTGCAAGGGCTGGAAATTAAAAATCACACACAGAATTACTATAGGCAACAGCAATAATCAAAAGATGAAAATTTATTATTAAGCAAGAACACCCATGGACAAAATACAAGACAAATTAAATTTATTTGGGTGAATACAGCATAGTTTACAATATCACATACATTTAAACTCGCTTAACGAGCATTTTAGTAATAAAAAAAGGCACATTTAAAAGTAGCTATTCAATTCAAGTGTATTCAACCGTTCTCTGTAATTGCTTTTTACCAAAATAGTGCTAATTCTCGTGCTGGTGTGTCGCTGAAATCTGAGCCGATGAAGGGCTGCTGTTCGCCGGGGAACTGCGAACTTTAGACCGCGGCCTCGCGTTTCACTCATAGCTTAAAGATGTGACTGACTCCAAAACCTGCCCAAAAACAAACAGTACTGAGATTAGAGAACATATTTTAACATCAAATTAAATTAAACTCAGTATTATAACGAATAAAATCCATTTATGTTATGCAAGGCAAAGACGTTTCCAGTGCAAAACGACCGCTGCTGACGCAGCTGACTGACATCTCGTCCTTATGTTGCGTTGCATAAAATAATATTATTTACACCACATTAAAGACTTTATAAATGAAATAAAATGTATACAAACCTTTATTTCCCGGAAAGAGTGCATCAAATCGGTGGAGGCGGCGCTGAGAACCACTCTATCCTGTAGGACGCAAAAAGCCCGCGATCTGACTGTAACTCAGCAGCTGCGTTGTTGAGAGGTTTCACCGGAGACAGGGTCAACCCAGCGGTTAGGTAGAAAAAAATAACCCATCGTTAAAATGACCCAGCACCTGGGTAAAAAATATTAAAAACAACCTAATAAAATGACCCAACAGGCTGAACACAGCATTTGGGTTAAAAAAATAACCCAGCGTTAAAATGACCCAGCATGTGGGAAAAATATTAAAAACAACCCAATAAAATGACCCAACAAGCTGAACCCAGCATTTGGGTTAAAAAAAAAAGACCCAGCACGTGAGTAAAAATATTAAAAACCACCCAAAAAAATGACCCAACAAGCTGGACCCAGCATTTGGGTTAAAAAAAAAAAGACCCAGCACGTGAGTAAAAATATAAAAAACCTCCCAATAAAATGACCCAACAAGCTGGACCCAGCATTTGGGTAAAAAAAATAAAAAAATAAAAAAACAGCACCTGGGTAAAAATATTAAAAACAACCTAATAAAATGACCCAAAAGGCTGAACCCAGCATTTGGGTAAAAAAATTAACCCAGCGTTAAAATGACCCATGCAGCACGTGGGAAAAATGTTAAAAATAACCCAATAAAATGACCCAATAAGCTGAACCCAGCATTTGGGTTAAAAAATAACCCAGCGTTAAAGGGGTCATGATGTTGCTAAAATGAACATTATTTTGTGTATTTGGTGTAATGAAATGTGTTTATGCGGTTTAAGGTTCAAAAAACACATTATTTTCCACATACTGTACATTATTGTTTCTCCTCTATGCCCCGCCTTTCTGAAACGTGTCGATTTTTACAAAGCTCATCGGTCTGAAAAGCGAGGTGTGCTGTGATTGGCCAGCTATCCAGTGCGTTGTGATTGGCCGAATACCTCAAGCGTGTGACGGAAATGTTACGCCCCTCACCATACCGTGATGATACCCTGTCCGGCCAGAGCGATGAGACAAACACATTAAAACCCATTACAAACGAGGCATTTGTTGCATCCAGTGGGGACATAATTATGGATTATAATGACTTATACTGTCTTTTAACGCCGTCCTCACCACCCTCGACGGTGGGGCGGCCCAAGGGTATGTGGACATCCCCCCAGTCGAGCGCGCTATTGCTATGCAGCTCTGCCCGCAAAGCGCCGCCGCCTGGAGAGGTAGTCCACGCTTTCCGTCCAGGGCCTGTAAGTTCTCGTCCGCGCAGGATGGGTTGGAGCGAAGGCTGTCTCCCTCCACCCTTAAAGTGTGTGTTGCCGCCATTGCCGCGCATCACGAGGCAGTAGATGGTTAGTCTTTGGGGAAGCATGACTTGGTCATCAGGTTTCTCAGAGGGGCAAGGAGGTTAAATCCTCCGTGAATATTTGGGCGGCGTTATGCAAATCTTCTCACATCGTGACGTAGACATGTGGGGTGTGTTAGAACGAGCCGTTTTAGGTAGGCGTGGCTGACTCTTAACTTTTATAAAGAATATCTCTTTGGATTTGAGACTTTAGTGTTTGCAACTTTACAGATCTTCTTTATGCACCAAGAGCTTGTAACACTCCAAAGAGAAAGGAAAAATTGAAATCGCATCATATGACCCAGCACCTGGGTAAAAATATTAAAAACAACCTAATAAAATGAACCAAAAAGCTGAACCTAGCATTTGGGTTAAAAAAAAATAACCCAGCATGTTTTAGAGTGTTTAAATAATAAAAATATAAATAAAGAAAATTATACAGTACATATATAATTAGTATGATTATATTAGTGATTTATATATTTAATAATAATTTTATAATAATAATAATAATAACAAATAATAATATAAATGTTCTTGAAATTTTATTTTACAATAATAATAATTTCAATTGATAATAATAATAATAATAATAATAATAATAATAATAATGATAATAATAATAACTGCAATTAGATTTGTTTTCCCAATATGTTCTGCCTATTTTTTTTATATTAAATAATGCATTCTTTAGACATATCATAATATTTTGTGATATTTATCATATTCTGAAATAAAATGAACAAGTGAAATAAAAAAGCACATTTCATTTCAGCTAGTCACCAAGCTAACATTTCAGCTAACATTTTCATTTGTGTAAATCGCTAAAATAACTAAAACGAAACAAACTAAAATTTAATAAAACTATAGACAAATATAAAAAAGAATACAAATAAAAAAAAAAATGCTAAAACTATAAGAAAAATTAAAAAAGAAAGAGAAAATCTAAAAATGAAATCTGATTCAAAATATTAACAAATACTATACTAAAATAACATCGATGTGGCGTATAGTTTGTCTGTAAAAACAAAAGCAGTCTTAAGTCGCTGGGGTATATTTGTAGCAATAGCCAACAATACATTGTATGGGTCAAAATTATCCATTTTTCTTTTATGCCAAAAATCATTAGGATATTAAGTAAAGATCATGTTCCATGAAGATATTTTGTAAATTTCCTACCGTAAATATATCAAAACTTAATTTTTGATTAGTAATATGCATTGCTAAGAACTTCATTTGGACAACTTTAAAGATGATTTTCTCAATATTTCGATTTTTTTTGCACCCTCAGATTCCAGATTTTCAAATAGTTGTATCTCAGCCAAATATTGTCCTATCCTAACAAACCATACATCAATGGAAAGCTTATTTATTCAACTTTCAGATGGTGTATACATCTCAATAAAAAAAACCCTGACCCTTATGACTGGTTTTGTGGTCCAGGGTCACAAATATCCAAAATCCACTCAGAACATCTTAGCAGCTAGTTTGCGACGCCCCGTTGTGATTTGCACAGGTGAACATCGCAGAAACATCTCATTCTGCACATAGACGTGCCATCTCAGTAAGTGCTGTGAGACGTGACTGGCTTTCCAGTGACAAACACATGATAAAGAGAAACAGTCGCAGCTATAGCTGTTCTCCTGACAACTACAGCCAAAATAACACACGCTGCTGACGGCTTCCACCGACACATGCTAGCGACGTGCTTCTGTGAAACAGCAGCTGACGTTTAGCCACAAAACAAATGAGAAAGGCTTGAGACGCAGCGATCTGAGGCGCTCGGCGGGGAAGACAGCAGACAGCTACATGCTACGACGTGCTAATTACTAGCATCACCTCGTGCTGAGTTTAAAATGACGACGAAAAACAGTAAAACCGGCCTCCTAACAGTCCTCATGTACTGAACTACCACAGAGAACGAGCGCTTCACGCTGATGAAGCTAATTAAACTGATTCTAGTCCAGCTAGACGGAAATATTACAACTAATAGTTTACTTTTCACTTCAACCAACAAAAAAGTACCAGAAAGTACTACAGTATTACCATGCTTTTTAGACTTAGATGGTAATTTTTTACCATCTCTTCTGAAGTATTTTCTGCTCACAAAGGCTGCGTTTGTTTGATCACAAATACAGTAAAAACAGTGAAGTATTACTACAGTGTAAAACAGCTGTTTTCTATGGAATCCTGTTTCCATCACACAAAAGAATAATTTAAAAAAGTAATTGTGAGTTTATATCTTTCAATTTTAAGAAAAATGTGAGGAATGCGAGATTTAAACTCAGAATTGCAAGAATTAAAATTACAATTCTAAGAAAAAAGTCAGAATTGCGAGAAATAAAAATGCAATTCTAAGAAAAAGTTTTAAATTGCGAGAAAAAACACAATTAAATGTAACATTTAAACTCAGAATTGCAAAAAATAGACTTGCAATTCTAAGAAAATGTCAGAATTGTGAAAAACAAACTTGCAATTCTAGGAAAAATCTCAGAATTGTGAGAAATAAAATTGCAATTCTAAGTAACAAAAAAGTAAGAATTGTGAGATTTTAACTCAAAATTGTGAAAAATGAACTTACAATTCAAAAAAAAAATGTCAGAATTGTGGAAAATTACAATTATAAGAAAAAAGTAAGAATTGCGAGATTTTACCTCAAAATTGGGAGAACTTGCAATGCTAAAAAAATGTCAGAACTGTGAGAAAAAAGTTAGAATTACGAGAAATAAACTTGCAATTTTAAGAAAAACTCAGAATTGCAAATAAACGTGCAATTCTAAGAAAAATGTCAGAATTGTGAGAAATAAAATCGCAATTCTAAAAAAAGTTAGAATTACGAGAAATAAACGTGCAATTTTAAGAAAAAGTCAGAATTTCCAGAATTGTGGTGCCACCGTCAACCCCAGGAAAGTAAACTTTTTGCATTTGCAATTGCAATAATTTAATTGTAATTCTAAAAAGTCACAATTGTGACTTTTTCAAGGCATCCTTGCTAAAATAAAAATATTTCTTTGGTATAGAAGTGTATTATGATTTGCATATATTACTTTTATTAATTTAGCAGATATATTAGCAACATGCTAGTGTCCAAAAACACAGTATTACAGCAGTATTTAGAGCAAGGGTTACATTCTTACCTGGGTAAAGAAGGGCTCGTAGATCTCCACACCTTTATCTGAGCCTTGCGAGAGAACGTCTCGTCCGCGGTACCAGCTGTAGCGGATGGGAGGGTTGGAGTTAGCGACGCAGCGCAGAAACACCGTCCGCTCATAGTAGAACTGCTCTTTAGCTTCACCAATACTCTGATGAACCGTCACCACAGGCTCGTCCAGATCTGGAGAGACAAAAAACAACACACGGTCACACAACTCACCGCAGAAGACAAAGAGTCATGTAAGTTCATTTGAAAACAACTTTTCTAAATAAATATATAAAAAGAGAGAAAGAGAGGTAAGTAGAGGATCTTTCATACTTTTTAATCCACATGTAACATGATTTCACGTTACAAACAAATTCCTCCAAAAAGAGTGAAAAAAATTCTACACTTGAAATTCATTGACTGTGTATAAAAGAAAAGGATTACATGCTAGCAATCTTCATGTGTTAGAAGTGCAAAAAATAAAGTCCTCATTGCATTTAAAATGTATGCATTTAAAATTTAAACTCAGAATTGCGAGATTTAAATGTGCAATTCTACGAAAAGTCAGAATTGCGATATAAACTCAGAATTGTGATACATAAACTCAGAATTGCGAGATTTAAAAGTGCAATTCTATGAAAAGTCAGACTTACAATATAAAATAAGAATAGCAAGATTTCAACTTAATTTTATGAAAATAGTGAGAATTGTGAGATAAACTCAGAATTGTGAGATTTAAATGTGCAATTCTACGAAAAAAGTCAGAATTGCGAGATATAAACTCAGAATTACG